AAAAAACGGTCACATGCTTTCCCTTACGAAGAACACTTCGTATCGCACCCCGAGGCCAGTCGACAGGGCGGGCCAGGCGTTGCGCTTGAGGTTTCCTCACCATGCGTGACCCTGGAGCTGACAACTTGCAAGAGCTTCGCGGATGGAGGGCGGCCCGCATTCAAAATGTGGCTCTCGCCTCAGCGCCGCCAACATTCGATTTTGAAAGGCTTGCACGAGCTTCACGGATGGAAGGCAGCCCGTTTTCAAGATGTGTTTCTCGCCTTAGCGCCGCGCACATTCGTTTCACAAAAGTTTGCAACGAAAGTTAACGGATGGAGGTCAATTCATTTTCAAAATGTGGTTCTCGCCTTGACGCCGCACACAGTCGTCGTTAGAGTTTGCAACAGTTTCGAGGGTTCCTATGGTTGACACCCCAGAACTGATGTTTGGGCGCGATGTCGGAATGTCAGGGCGCAACAGTCGAGTTGATCCGTGGTGTTGAAGTCCCAGGAATTGCGTTTTGGCACGATTCAGGATCGTCAAGAAGCAACAGCAACGGTGATTCGCGGCGTTGATGTCCCGAGAATGGCATTCTGGCACAATTCCGGATGGGTTTACACTGGTCCCCCTCCCCTCCTCCCTTCTCCTCCTTCCTCCTCTCCTTCCTCCTCCTCCTCCTACTCCTACTCCATCCTCCTCCCTCCCTCCCCCCCCTCCGTCCTCCCTCCTCCCTCCTCCCTCCCCCGCCCCATACTTATCCTTCGTCTGCTCGTCCTCCTCCTCCTCCTCCTCATCCTCCTCCTCCTCCTCGTCCAGCGATCGCTGTGATAAGTCCCAACCGACCTTTAGGGCGTGAGCGGTTTAGAGCGTTTCCTCTTCCAACCCCCCTCCTTCCCCTTCGGGAAGGGGTTTGTCCTTCCCCCACCCCCTCCCCCTAGAAGGGACGCCCCGCGAGGTGCCAGAGGGTTTTGTTTGGCGTCGGCGAGAAAGCCCAAACAATTGATTTGTCTCAAGTGTTGAACCCATTTGGGCCTCCTGGGGGGGGGAGCCTAACCCCACCAGCCATTTAGGGCGTGAGTGGTTTAGCGAGCTTTTCTTATTGACCCCCGTCTTCGCCTTCGGGCAGGGGTTGGCCCCTCCCCCTACCCCCTCCCCCTGCACCTGGAGGGGAGAATCCGCGAGACGTTAGAGCGTCCAAAACGGCCTCGACGAAGCCAAACTCACTTATGTCATTTAAGTCTTGGCCACATGTTGGCCTCCTGGGGGGAGGCCCCAATGGGGTAGCTCCACTCTTTGATCGATCTCTTCCAAGATGGCCCAAGATGGCCCCGAAGGCTCCTAAGGGTGCCCCAACATGGCCTTACCGACGAGGCCCCCCAGAGGCACCCAAGACGCCCAAAGAGGCCTCAGCAAGAAGATCAGCATGATTGACTTGACTATGGTTTTGGCACCATGTTGGCCTCCTGGGGGAGACCTTTAGTGAGAAGCCCCCCTTTTGTGATCGATGTCTCCCAAGATGGCCCCAAGATGGCCCCCGAGGCTCACAAGGGTGCCCCCAGACGGCACCAAGAGGTGCCCAGGAGGTCCCCAAGAGGCCCCCAAGAGGCCCCCAAGAGGCCCCCAAGATGCTCACGAAAGGCTCCTCATCCTACTCCTTCTCCTCCGCCTCAGTCCTCCTCTTCCTCATCATCCTCATCCTCGTCATCCTTCACCTCCACTCCTTCTCATTACATATAAGTAACTCCTCCCTGTCGCACCCCAAGGCAAGTCGTAAGGGCGCGCTGGGCGATTCGCTTGAAGCCTCCCTACCACACATGGTCCTGAAGCTGAGCATTGACAGTAGCTTTACGGATGGAGGACGGCGGTTTTCAAAATGTGGCCCTCGCCTTAGCGCCGCGCACATTCGTCTAAAAATGTTGCGAGAGCTTCTCAGACTGAGGGCGGGTCCTTTTCAAAATGTGGCTCTCGCCTTCGCCGCGCACACTCGTCCAAACATTGCAAGAGTTTCACGGATTGAAAACAAGTGGTTTTCAAAAAAAAATGGCTCTTGCCGTAGCGCCGCGCACATTCGCTTTCAAAATTTGCAAGAATTTCACGGATGGAGGGCGACCCGTTTTCAAAATGTGTCTCTCGCCTTTAACGCTGCGCACATTCGGTTAAAATTTGTGCAGGGGCTGTACGGATCCCCATGACTAACGTACCAGACATGTCCGGGCGCAACATTTACGTTGATTCGCGGTCTTCAAATCTTGAGGATGGCGTTCTCGCGGGATTCGGAATCGTTCGACAAGCGACGATCGTTCGACGATCGACGTCGCCGTCGACGATCGACGGTCGTTCCTGCCGAAAACGACGACGCCACCTCCTCCACCATGTCTGCGGGCCCTGCTGGGCGGGCGGGCGGGCGTTGCTCACGGGTGGCGTTGGAAAGATAGCGTGCAGCATCGATCGCCGAAAAGCACGCTATCCCTGTGAGGCGATCCCCCCGCGAGGGCCCCCTTCTGTGCAGGACCTCCCCTTGCCGAGGCCTCTTCGGTGCACACTGACCCCAAGGTGGGCGATAGCGTGCAGCAGGCGGGCTGGCAGCGCCTCATCGCCCGCAAACTCTCCACAGCCAACTGTAGCGGGTGGGCATTGGGTGCCGGGAGCAATCACCCTGGCACGACGGACACCTCCTCCCCGCAACGGCTCAGGGGCGCGGCGCGGGGGAAGCCTCGACCCCAGAAGACCGCGCGCACATCGCGCAGTCTCTGGGGGCCGAGTCAGGGGCAACGACACGCAATACCAATCAACATCGAGCTGTGAAATCGGATCGAATCAGAATGTGCGTCGGATAGGGCCGCATCGGCACGGGGTCGAGATCGAATCGGACCAGCCGAGGGCAGTATGCACAACAGCGCCATGCAAGCATCGGGCCGCGTCGAATCGTCAACACGTCGGGATCGAATCGGATCGGGCCAGCCGGAGTCGATGCGGAATCGGATCGATCGGATCGAAATGTGCCCTGTCTGGGGGGAGGCAAAAGCTAAGGGGGGAATGCGTCGACCCCTGGTCGCCCATTGATCGCAGATGGGCGCCTGACAGCCCACGGGCAGCCCGCAAGGGCACAGGGGCACGACTCTGGGAAAGGCAGAGGGAGAGGAGGAGGAGGAGGAGGAGGAGGAGGAAGAGGAGGAAGAGAAGGAGGAGGAGGAGGAGGAGGAAGAAGAAGAAGAAGAAGATGAAGAAGAAGAAGAAGAAGAAGAGGGAGACAGGGGAGTGGCGCGAGAAGGGGGTGGGCCTCCTGGGGGGAGGCGGGGGGGGCTCTCATGGAAGGCAAGGTCCTCCGCAGCAGAAGGGCCCAGAGGCCTCTAGAGAGGCCTCTCTTCAGCAGGGGCCGACCGTCCCAGCACTCCTCCTGGCCTACCACGAGATGTTCTTAGAAGCACCAGATGTTCGAACAACAAAAACATCGTGTTGAGCACAGAACCCCGATGTGGTAAAACAAGACAACCTCGGCAAGAGATGCTAGGAGAACAGTTCGTGCAAACCACAAAAAGTCATGAGAACATTCCCTGGTGGGCCCATAGGCAAGCCAGGCCGCCTTGCCACTGCCTGATCCTCGTCACGCTTTCCATCGCAAAACCATCGAAACCCAAGAAACCCAGGGCACCCTGGAGGCAAGCAGGGTGTTGTTTGGCATGGGCCTCCACTGTAGGACGGGAACGATGTCATGATTCGATCGGCTCAGGATACGTTCCAGGCATTCTGGAGTATCCGGCGGCCCTCGTTCCAGAAGCCCGTGCGGAAGATCCTCCAAGCAGCCTCCAATAGGCCCCCTGGAAGCTCCCGGGAGGCCCCATGAGTGCCCCCAAGAGGGTCCGAAGATGCCCCCCTCTCCTCCGCCTGATCCTCCCCGCCATCTTCCCCCAAATTGGACAAGAGCGTTCCACAACTCGCAAAGTAACCACTCGCAAATTGCCTGGACCCGCCGCGTGGATTTACGATCCATTACTTTGAAGAAGACCTGTCGCTTTTTCGGACGTTTGCGAGTATGCACTTTGCGAGTGGTGGAACGCGCTCGTTCCCCGAAGGGGCCCCAGGCCCTGCAGGATCCTGCAAGATCTGGCGACTCTGGCGGACCCCCGTTTTTACGCGGACCCCCGTCTCTTGATCGGCACGAACGAAATGGGTACGTACGGAAAGAATGGGTACAATGCCCAACAGCAGTTCTTGTTCATTTTGAGCAGGACTCGCTGTCCACGCCGCCGCGGCCTGTGTCCAGTCGAGACAGAAGGCCGCCTGCCCAACAGCGGCCGCTGCTGGTTTCGGACAACTTGTGTTGTTGGGCATTGTGCCCAATCTTTCGGTACCCATTTGGGGGTTCCAAACTTGAGCCCCGAGGACTGCTCCCTGGGAGAGCCCCGGCCTCGGGCCCGCTTCCAGGACGACGCAGCTGGAGCTGCGAGCCCTCGTGCTGCCCCGGCCCCGCCGCCCTCATTCGCGCCCCGCCCCGCTCCTGCGCTGGGGCTGCAGGAGCCGTTCGCCAAAGCCGAGTTGCCGGTCGCGCCCGCCTGGCGGGAAGGGCGGTCGGGGGGGCTGTCCTCCTTCCTCCCCAAATTCCTGATCCTTCCGACCCTCGCCCTCCGCCTTGCCCTCCACCCCACCCCGTCCACCTTGCAGCCTTCCGACTCGCCCTCTCTGCCCCCGTCCCGATGGACGCCGCCTCACTCTCGACCCTTCCTCGCGCTCCACCGCACGCCCCCTGTCACACCCCTCTCTCCCTCATCTTGCCCTCCTCTCAACGCCCACCTTCGCCCTTCAGTCCCGTCACCTTCCACCACGTCACCCTGGGGTCGGGCCAGTCCCCCTACAGGGGGATTTTGGACGGAAAATGCAAATTCCCCAAGAGTACCCCAAAATGATTTTTAAAAATATGCAAAAAATGGTCCCCAAACTATTTTTTACTATTTTCGAATATTCCTCCTGTGGAGGGACAGGCCCGACTTAACGTCACTCTCCCCCCTCACCGTCTCTCCATCATTCTCCCATTCCCTCTGCAAGGGGGCCGCTGCTTGCATTTCCCTGCAGTCTGTTGTGTGTTCGGCGCTGTGCGCAGCTCGTGGAAATTTCTTGGAGTTGTTTGGGTGTGCTCCGATTTCGCCTGCGCTTCTCAAGCGCATTCTTCCGATGAGGACGCCTGCTTCATTCTGAGTGGATTTGCTCATGTGCGTTCAGTGGTCGGATCTGACAGGATCTGTTTCCCGGGGGGGGGACTGCTTGTACTTCCTTGCGTCATGTTGTACATGTGCTGGGATGTACGCAGTTCCTTGGATATGCCGGGATTTGCTTTTATCTTCTCAACTTTTGCCTGCGCGTCTCAAACACATTCGTCCGATGATCGCGTGCTAATGTTATCTGTGCACACGTGCCTACGTTTGGTTAGATTTGACGGCACGCAAGACGCCCCAAGAGGCCTCGGCGAGAAGGCCAAAATCATTGATTTCACGATGGTGTTGGCCACATGCTGACCTCCGGGGGGGGCCCATGGAGCCCCCCTCCTTTGCTCCATCTCCTCCAAGATGGCCACAATGTGGCCCCGGAGGCTCCCAAGGGTGCCCCAAGAGGGCCCAAAGAGGTGCCCAGGAGGCCCCAAGAGGCCCACAAGAGGCCCTCGAGAGGCTCCCAAAAGGCCCCCAATAGACTCCCAGATGTCCCCCAGAGGCACCCAAGACACCCCAAGAGGCTTCGGCGAGTCCCTCTTGGGGCACGACGTCTTGCCAAGCCCTGTGTTCCACTTCATTCTCCTCCACATCCCTGGTCAGGGCAACTCGTCTGGGCATCGTTTCTGGAGTGGCTGGTAGGGTTGCGCGGAACGTCTAGAATATGCACCTGATCAGTTCAAACACGACAAGCCCCAGAATGCAACAGCAAAAAGCCACATACGTTTTCACATACAAAACGAACCAACAACAAAAAAGAAACGAATTTGAATAAACGAAAGAATTCCCTCACAAAAATTGATACTGGGGGCCGTCGCGATTTCCTCCCCCTGGTCATCACCCTCCTCTTGCGCACGCCCCGACAGCATCTGCCTGCCAGTTATGCCAACACCGCCGGTCGCTTCGAGCTGCCAGCTGCCACCCTGCCCTGTCGCAGCACGGCGCGCAACCGCCCCGCCGCCGGAAAGCGGGAGCCGGGCAGCCGGTCCGCTCACTCGCGGGCGCTGCAGCTAGCCGAGGCACCGGGCAGATTCGCAACCATGACTCGGAGGAGGGCCAGTCGAGGAGGAGGAGGAGGAGGAGGAGGAGGAGGAGGAGGAGGAGGAGGGGGAGGAGGAGGAGGAGGAGGGGAGGAGGAAGGATGGGAGGAGGAGGAGGAGGAGGGGGAGGAGGAGGAGGAGGAGGAGGGAGGAGGAGGAGGAGGAGGAGGAAGGTGGAGGAGGAGGAGAGGAGAGTGAGGAGGAGGAGGAGGAGGAGGAGGCGGCCCGCTCTCTGGCGCCGCTCCGCGCTGCCTGGGGCCTCGCTGGACGCTGCTCGTCGCCACGGCCGTAGGCGCCTCGAGGAGATGGCCAAGGCGCACCCCGGGAGGGGTCCTGCTGGGAGGACCGACTTTCAACGGATTTGTGGCCCGGGCGGGAGAGCCGGATCTCGCCTCCAGGCCGCACTCGGGCCCAGGCGCGGGCAGGAGCACCAGATGCGGCCGCCTGCAAGGGGAGACGGGGCAGAGGGGAGGGGAGGGAGAGCGAGAGAGAGAGAGGGAGAGACACAGAGAGAGAGAGAGAAAGACAGAGAGGGAGAGAGATTGCGAAAGGGAATGAGAGAGAGAGAGAGAAAACAAGAAATGATGAATGGAGAGAGCGAGAGACAGACAGGCAGACAGGAAGGCAGGCAGGCAGGCAGACAGACAGACAGGCACGCAGGCAGGCAGGCAGACAGACAGACAGAGAGAAGTTGCGAGAACAGTCGAGAGAGATTGAGAGAGAACGAGAGAGGTTGAGAAAGTGAAAGAGAGAGAGAGAGAACAAAAAAAGCGACAGAGACAGAGACAGAAAGAGAGACATAGACAGAGAAAGAGACAGAGTCAGAGACAGAGACAGAAATAGACTGAGCGAGAACAAGAAGTGGAGGAGAGATAGACAGCGAGGGAGGCCCTGATCCATCAATCTGTCAGCTGTACAAGTCAGAACAAGGAGGGAAGAACAAACCCTGGAGTGGCCAGAGCCACCTGCATCCAAACCCTCCCCCTGCACATCCCCCCTCTGCCACTCTCCCCTCGCCCCATCCCACCCTCGCCCTTTTCGCCCTCTTGCTTCCTCCCCCTCTCCCTGCCCCATCCTTCCACCTGGTCCCCCGTCCCCCTCCTTCTCCGTAATCTCTTTTCCTCCTCCCCGTCCTCACCCTCTTCCTCCCCCCCATCTTCCTCCTCCAGCTCCCTCCCGTCCCCCGACCCCCTCCTCCGCCGTAACCTCTTTTCCTCCACCCCCTCCTCCTCCTGGTCCTCCTCGTCCTCAGCCTCCTCGTCAGCCTTCTCTTCCTTATTCCCTCCTTGAGGAAGCAGAAAGGGGGCACACCGAATAGCAAGCGCACCGAGAGGCGTCCGTCAGCTGGGCCCAGGACGCCAGAACGGAAAAAACATCGCGATCCCCGGCCCAGCAGAGAGCCATGGAGCTGCTGGAGTTCTGGCCTAGCAACAGGAGCCGGAGTCAGAGTGGGAGGAGGAAGAGCAGGCGGGGGGAAAGAGCAGGATGGAGGAAGAGCAGGGAGGGGGGAAGAGCAGGGAGGAGGAATACCGAAAAGGGGAGGAGGAGGCTGAAGCGGAAGAGGACGAGAAAGTGGAGGAGAGGAAGGGAGAAAGGGAGAAGAAGGAAGTGAGGACGACGAGGAATGAGGAGAGAAAGGAAGGGGAACGGAGGAGGATATGTAGCAGATTAACAATGAGGAGCTCGAGGGGAGGGGAAGGGGGAAGGGAGGAGGTAGGAGGGAGGGGAGGAAGGGAGGGAGAAGGGGGAAGGGGGAGGGGGGGGGAGGGGAAGGGAGAGTGGGAGGGGGAGGGGGAGGGGGAGGAGGAGGGGGAGGGGAGGGGGAGGAGGAGGAGGAGGAGGGAGGAGGAGGAGGAGGAGGAGGAGGAGGAGGAGGACGAGAAGGAGGAGGAGGAGGAGGAGAAGGACGAGGATGAGGAGGAGGACGAGGAGGAGGAGGAGCTGGACGCCGCGCCGCACCGACTCAGCGCCGCGCGCACCTCCTCCATGTCCGCCTTGTCCCCGAACTTCTCCTCTCGCCTCGGAATGCGAGGCGGGGATTTATCCATATCCACCGCCTGGGAACCAACGTCCTGGGGACCCAGCGGGCGGTGGATATGGATATATGTTGGTCCCTGGGGGCCCGAATCTTATCCATATCCACCGCGTGCGGAGGTCTGCGAAAATCGATCCTCCAGGCGGTGGTGATGTATAAATCCCCGCCTCGAATCGGAAGCCCGTGTCGAATCCTCCCGCCCGCTCCCCACCCTGCTCCACCGTCTACGAAAAAAACACTCCAAAGTGGCAAAAAACTAAAAATGCTCAAAAAAATGGTCCCCCTACTGCTTTTTGATTATCTTTGAATAATCTCCCTGTAGAGGGACAGGCCCGACTCAACACTTTCCCCCTCGGCGCGCCGCTGAGGAAGGGTACGCGCAAGGGTAGGCGGACAAGCGGGTCGGTTTGGGGGCTCCAATCGCCATACGTACAGCGGGCTCCCGGACGCGTCGAGCACGAAGCCGCCTCCCGGGAGCAAGCCCTCGCCGGACATGTCGTTGAAGTGGAAGCCCTTCCGACGAAAGGGACATCTGGAGCAAGGAATGACGAACGAACAACACACAGCCATACCCATAGGGAGGTCGTTGGGAGGAGGACTGGCTATGGGTATGGGTGCGGGTTGTCGGACCCTGGGGAACGCTCCCGTTCGAGCGGGGACCCCCATCCGACAACGCGCACCCATAGTCCTCTCCGATCCCCCTATGGGTATGGGTGTGTGTTGTTGGTTCGTCAAGGAAGCCAGATCTCCGATGATACGGTATTTTCATGGGGCGCACAGAGACATACTAATACTATACGTCCTCCTTGGAGGCGCGCGAGCGACCCGAACGTATGGTGCACCAATCTTGCAGTGTATCGTGGTCCGAGCGGTGTGGCCAGAAAGCGCCCGCTACGACGAGTATACTGTGAGAGTTCTCGGTGCGCGCGTCGCCCCTGGAGGGGCGACGCACACATAGTATCCGATATTCGGTGTTTCGACATTGGGCGGAAGGGGGGGGGAGGGGGGGGGAGGGTCTGGCTCCGGACCTCTGCTTAAATACGGCTGTTTGCAACGGGGCGTCCATTATGGGGGAGGCTCCACCTGCTCGAAACGGGCGCCCAGAAACAGCCTTCGACTCTTCGATTGCTTCGATCTCGGCCTCCGCGGCCCGCGGGCGGCCCCAGACGATCCCAGGAGGGCACAGACGGGGGTCAGAGAGGAACCAGAAGAGCAGAAGGAGGGCCTCTGGAAGCCCCCCAGACGGCCAAGGACAGCCCTGCGAGGGCCCCAAGACG